ACATAATTTTCTCCTCCTTACTGCTGATTTCTGCTGGGAGCTTACATGCATCCAAATCATCTGATCACAGCTGTACCAGCTTCTCCCTCTCTAAAAATAGAATTTGACAGCCTTTCTTCTCAGCTCTCCTCTAGAACTCAGCAGGAAGACCCAGACCACTTCTCTCCTCCAAGTTCTGCCTCAGTGTCTGTGCTTAAAGAAACTCATTTGAGTTTTTCAGCAGTTCCTTGTTGGTTTCCTGAGGGTTATCTCCCATTTTGCCTCTCTGAACATACCTTTTCTCCTCTGTCTTGGAAGCTTCCCTTCCTCAGACCCGTTTCTTTCACCATCTGTTGCCAAAGGAAGCTCCTTTTAATGGTTAAAATCAATTATCAGGCTGGCTAAAGCAGTTCCTTGCTGCCAAGCACTTGATTATAGTCAATGTGCCCTAGGTCAGGTCTTGTGACACCTCTTAGTTTGCCGTAGAAGTTCCTATGCTGTTACATTTTACTTCTGCAAAAAGGGCCAAGAAGTAACTCTAATCCTTATTCCTGGCCTATCTCCCTCTTCAGTTCCATAATTCCTAGGTATAACAGGCAGAACCAGAGTTGGCCAAACCAAAGTCTTGTCTTTTAAAGTCTTCCCTGTCACACACAGGGAGGTGAAATGTGCAGCTTGCAGCGCAAAGTCTGTCAGCTCCATCCATTGCTTCTCTGCTAACTCTTTATGTGACCTCGAGCAAAGCTATTTAAATTTAGTGGTCATTTCAAATCACTTTTGGCACTTTCATGCCAAGTGTATCTCATCTATAAAGCTAATATTGTGACTAACATTTTCAAAGGAGTTTAAGAAATTTAATGCAAATATTCTGCTCTAAGTAACTTTGGGAGACTGCTGTGCAATTACCAATTTCAGATATCATTCTATTATTACTATTATTTGTTCTTCATGCAAATTGTCTGCAATTGGCATTCTTCTTATCTAGTAACCATTAATCTTTTATAGTGAACTTATCTACAGGGTGCTCGGAACTACTAAAACATACATAAAAATGCATAAAAGTATTCTTTCTTATATGTACCTCCAGCAACTGAAAAAAAAAAAAAAAGAAAGAAAAAGTGAAAAAATCTCAAGACAAACATCCAAATATTGAAACAAACAAGCTTCTAAAATTATCGTCAATTAGACATTAATGTTTATTGATCTTTCAATTTTGTTGCTATTTTTTGCTTAGTAATAGGGTTAAACTTATAGTTTATTTCTAAAAATTCTGCCACTCTTAATCAGGCTGAACAGGACCTCACAAGGGAAAAATAAGTGGCATTCCTGAGTGTCTCTGTGGGCAGGTTTTTAAACACTATTATGCATGTCAGCAGTCTGTCTACGTTATCTGTTTCTGTGTACTTCAAGCAACCCTAGGGACTTTAAGCTCTTCCTTGGAATGTACCTAATTCTCCACTGCATATGCAAGTGTGGTGTTCTATCTTCAAAATCTTGAATTAAACCTAAAGTGGTGTCTAAACCAGTGCAAATATATCTAGCATGGTGAGTCATTATCTATTCTAATGATTTCTCAGTTATTCTGGACAAATAAAATTAACTGAGTTCCAAACATGTGTGCCTTTACCAAAAGGTTATTTCATTGATGGATTGCTAGCTACTCTGCTTAGTGAGTTAAATGAACTTCCATCAGTACAGATGATGGTGATCGATAGTCTGGAAGATATAAACTGAGGCTTTGAGAAAGTGCCCAGCAAATTAGTGGTAGGGAAAGGAAAGCCTGGAGCTTTGGGGACTGAAACTGATAAAGTAAAAGTGCCTCCAGTGAGAGACACTCTTGAACATTGGTGTGTATGTGCTAGGGCTAGAATTTTCTATTGCTATAAATTATGAAATATAAAAGAAGAAATTAAGCAGCATATGAATCAGGAGGAACTTATGGAGCCTCTACTTCTTTAAATATGTTACAACAGGAATAGTGAAGAACAAAAAACAGACAAAAATGGACAAAAAATACAAAAAAACATTCTCCCAAAGAAAGCAGGGAAATCCAGCAGGACATGCATAGCTATGGCCATAGATTTATTAGTGATGCCTAAATTTCCCTATTTTTAATAGCTGCTGGTGCTCACAGGGCAGGGACTCTGGTGTACAGGAAATGTGGTTGTGAAGAGCGTAGTAAAAATGTGAGATGATCACAGATTATGTTATCCAACCACAGCAAAATTACTGTATTCTGAATGAGCAAACTGGCATTTCAGTTCCTTGTGGTACACCATACTGTGGTGTGGCACCATCTAAAATCAAGTTTCTGTTCTATAGATTCTGCTCATACTACATAAAAATTGTCTTTGCTTAAAAATCAGAATTCATGTGTGATTTTCCTCCAGTTCTGCCAATTTTGAAAGCAAGAGGGGCTTGTCAGAATCTTATTTTCTATGGCATATGAAATCTATCATATTTGATCAGTGAACTGTGTGGTGCAATGTTACTGACAATAACATGAAGATAACTGCTAGCCACTTGCAGCTTCAGCAGTAGATAGTTAACTTATCCTTACGTCACCTTTCACAGGATTCTAGACCATTAATACTTTGGCATTGCCCATGGGTTGGAAAAGGAGAGGTTTTGGTGTAAAAAGAAAGACAATGCTTCTTGATAAAACTAACTGACGCCTGACTGGTAGACAGATAATGCTCCTTTGTCTAGAACCATAAATTATGTTGGCAAATCTCTTTTTTCAATTGGAAGCATTACCACAGTAAAATGCCACTAAGATATACTTTTAGGAAAAAATGCTTGTCTATTATTTTTAACAGCTGAAATTATTTTGATCTGTTATACAAATGAAATTACCCAGATATTATAGTGATGGATGCCTTAAAATACTTTCTCATGAGATGCATGATAAAAAATCAAATTACATAGAAAGTTAGTGTACATCCTAGCACATTTTGTTAGAATCCAGTTTTGTGAATGGGCAAAATGCTGCCTTCAAATGCTTCCTTTGTGTCACTGGAATAGATATAAAGCAATTTAGTTTCATTTTCCTTCAGCCATGTTAGTGCAGTGTCAGGTTTTTATAGATGCTCACTTGACCAGACACCCACTGTATCCTACAGTCTGTGGCACTTTGTCATAAAGCAGACAACACTGGCACTGGGAATTCATCAAAATACGAAAATGTTCAATCATTTAAATATAAAGGATATGTCAGGAGCGGTAAGTCTTGAAATCTAATGTGTAACAAGTAAATGGTTTTGCCTGATATATATTGCCTAGCCCAGAGGACAGCCCACTGTGCTTTGCACTATGGAGGAAAGTGTCCTTGCACCAAATTGTGTGACAAAAATACTTCAGACCATTCTGGACTATGAAAAGCCAGCAGAGCAGTGAGAGCCTGCTTGCTGCAACCTGGTTTGAGGAAGTTAGTACAATCTGGAATAGTACTTAGCTCTCAGGTGTTGGTATAATCATACGCCTGCTGCCTGGAGGTAGGCAGGCACCATGCTGCAGTGGGGTTGCCATGCTGCTGCCCCTTCAAACTTTTTCTTCGCTAGATACCAAAAAATTGGCTTTTTTTTTCTTCACATTTAACCCACTGTCAGTGTGTACAGAATAAACAGAAATTTGTTGATAAACTTTTTTGCTAAAAAAGTCTTGCAATTCTTTATGTAGCACAAGTAATTCTCTTTTTTAAAAGGTATTGCCAGTATATTTCATGTTTTGTGAAATCAAGGTGTTGAGTTTTTCTTCAAGCAATAAAAAGCCCTGTTGATTTTGACATTTCTCTTCAAATACCCATATGGACTTCATCCAGTGCACATTATGGAAGTTATAATTTGTGTTTCTTGTTGCTAATATAGAAAGGAAAACTTCATTGTTTCCTTTTTCAGTCACAAATCTTCAGGTTTAGGAAACAAAGAATTCTTTCATTTCAATATTGTGCTGATGTTTTAACATGGCAATGTCATTTGTTATTTTACTCGTAATTTTCTATAATTGAAGTATCTTCAAGAAGAAAAAAAAAGGCACTACATATATGGAGTCTGATACAGGAAAAAAGTATCCTTTGTGTTGAAGAGCAATAGCAAAAGAATTATGTGCATAGGAAATTCCCTGGAACACCCTTCCCTGTGACTTTCTTTTAAAGAAATAGGATTAAACTTGCTTCAAGAGTCTTTGACTCCCAGATAAACTCTGGGTTCTTTGATGACATAGCAGAAGCCAAGGTAGGAGGTCTTTCTAAAAGATCAAATAAAACCCAGTTGAACTGTGAACTGTGAGTGAGCCAAGAAGTTTTTAGATGCACTTCTAACCTGCTTCTAACTTTTACCATGAACATATAGTAGGGTTCAGAAACAATCTGTTGTAAATTCCTCAGCCAATTAGCCGAGTGAGTTACCACCGTTTATAATGCGCAGAACATGGAGGCTCTTTTGCAGTTGCGCCGAGTTGGATTGTTAATAACAGGAAGCTAGCACTTCTCAGTACAGTGGATCAGCTACATGTGAAAATAAATGTAAAAAACCTGGAGGGGAATGGCAGCAGACTGAGATTAGCCTTTATTTAATTTAGCATTTGGGGGTCCAACACACAAATGAGCATTTTAGTAGGCTTCATGGTGGAAGTTGCTGTCATTTGTAAAATATTCTGGCCAATTAGCTAATAGTGTGCTTGGATTTCTCCTGTTTTGATACAGTAATACTAAGTACATTGTGAAGCCCAATTATACAAATCATCCCCATATGCCATACCAGTCTTTCTTTATGAACTGTGTTTATAAATCCTGTGTGAGGAAATGTGTACTTCAGCAATTTAGACCATGTGTAAAAACATAGCCAATAGGATTGTCAAGAAAACAAGTTCCAGCATAGGAAATCCTAATGTGTTCCGCTAAAATAACACGAGTGTGTTGTGTGAGTTTTCTGATTAAATACATATTCCTTTAGAGTGCTTAACCTGCACAGGTCCTTCCGTTTCCCTTTTTGTTCTTTCTTTCTTTTTCTCTTTTTTTGCAGGATTCAAATTTGGAGTTTTTGAGGAAATTTGGAATAGGGCTAGTCTCAGGAACAATAGCCTCAACTATTAACATTCCTTTTGATGTTGCAAAAAGTAGGATTCAAGGACCACAGCCAGTTCCTGGAGAGATCAAGTACAGAACCTGTTTTAAAACTATGGCAACAGTCTATAAAGAGGAAGGGTAAAATGTTCTTATTTTAATACATGTCCAGACCTCTGTTTTAGTTCATATGGGTTCATAAAACCACGTTGTTATATTTCAGATTTGATGAGGACCATTAAGCCACCCTGAACTCACATATCAAAAGAGCACAATGCATCATTTTGTAAATATTCTTTAGAATTACAAGGAGATATCCTCCTACTCCATGTGAACTTTTACAAACAACTTGCAAGATGATTATTGGGTTGTCAAAATTTATGTTCCCCAAATAAATGCTTTATATATCTCACGTAATTTTTTCAGCTCTTCATTTTGTAAAATATCAACAGAAAACAGATTATTTCCCCATTTATTCTAATTGCAATTATACAGACCGCTGTACCTTTAAAATGACTGCTGAAATAATTAAATCAGGGCATATTGTGGCAATACCGTTTTCCAACTTTTTAAAATACTTCTCAAGTGGGGACTGAGTTGTAGCTTTGATATTCAATTAAAGCGGTCATTTTGTCCATGCATGCAGCTGTTGTTAACAGACTTGTCTTGAAAGTAAAACCATCTCACTGATTAAAGTCATATTTCTGATTGGCTAGGCTCACAACATTGCTTTTGTGGCTAAACATTGATTAACTTTTTCTCTTCATCTGATCTGCCTCTGTAAAATGTTAAAATCCAGATATGGCCTGCTATTGAACATGTGTAATTTCAAATAATTGCTTCTAAGTGCTCTGCCAGCATTTTAATCAACACATGCTAAAATTCCATTCTTCTTTTAGAGCAAGATATTGTTTGAAATGTTTTGTTTGTTTTTCTTCTGCTACAGTTTTCTGGCTCTGTACAAAGGCTTGGTTCCCAAGATCATGAGGCTTGGTCCAGGTAATTTTCCTTCTGTCATTTCTATATTGCTTTTGTTCTTGCTTTTTCTTCCCATTTTTCAGTTTCAGTTTCTTGACAAAATGTAGTAAGCATCAGTCAAATCAATGAAACAGTGTACCAGAAATCATCAAAATTGCTTTCACCTTCAAATAATTTCTGTTGATAATACCATCATCGAATAGTATCATAGATGGATTTGGCTAAATATATGTCTAAAAAAAATCATTTACACGTACACGTCAGAGGACTGAAGAGCCAAGTAACTGCTGGATTGTGTAATTGCTTGATTTGTGAACAAGCCAAAGTGCATCCATGCAAATGCCAGAAGTGTAAAACTTGACAGTGTTTCTTAAAGCTTCCTGTTCCTCTAATGTGAATTTTTGGTTTCACTAGGACTATTCTGTATCCATCTAAAGTCACCTTAAAATGCAGATTAAGGGTCTCTCCAGTGTAAATACTTTCAACTGGTTAAAGCATAGCCCAAGCATATGAAATTCCAGCTACTTTCTTCTGTGCTCTGCAGGGGCTGTAAAGGACAGACACTAAAAGGCTGATAGCATGAGCTGGGAAGAGCCTTGCATGGCCCTAGAAGAATAAGAGGACAAGGATACCTTAACACTGGGTTTGTTCTCACTAGTTGTTACTCCAAATGCAGGAGAACGGTGCTTAAGACATAGATCTTCTTTGACTTTTAGACTATTTTTCCCTGGCTGGTCTTAATTAATCATGAAAGCAAAGCACTGGGATCTTAGACTTTACCAGTCCACAGAGGCAGTCTGTGTCGAAAAGAGCAGAAGCCACAGTTTGAACAGTATTCCATTCCATGAAATTGTACTTCAGATTGTGCAAGGTGGTTTAATAGGCAAGAACACACATGGTTAAAAGCAAGTAGGTGCAGAGCCTGCTCTGCAGTATAAAGGGGGTATTAGGTTTATCTGTAAATGTTTACATGTCCAACCCATCTGGCTAAGAGTGAGACCATGCCTGGTTATTGTGCAGGGTAAAGGAAGAAGGTGGGGAGGGGAAGCAAGGCAGCTAGGCATAACTCTGGAGCTAAAAGCCTTTTCCCTCATATTCCAAAGATACTAGACATACGGGGCAAAGAGAAGGCAGTTTCACTTCCCCAGTACCCAGTAACAGCAGATTTTGGAATAAAATTTTGCATCTTACAAATGACTACACCTTCTGGCCCAGATCCAGCAAGTCAATTAAGTGCACACTGCATTTTAAACACTTGTGTAGTCCTATTGGCTAATACATAGATTTGGCTTTCTGATTAAACAATAATGCAATCTTTATTGTGACTGGAAAGGTAATTCCTTCTTTCAACATGAAAATGCTTTCAGGAGGAGATACATAAACAGATCACACAATATGGGAATTGGATTCAGCCTTGATTTTAGTTGAAATCACATTTTAGACATTGTGTCTGTGATTTGTTTGTTGGTCAGAGCCTTTTGCAAACTTTTGCTCTGTCTAGCGGTCTGTGAGTTGCTGTTCACAGAGGATTTTGAGTCTGATGATGGTTCATTAGGATAAATAACATGGGCAAATTCATGTGGTAGTTCTGCATGCCTGGTTGTCTGAGCCTACCTGACCTACATAGTAAGGTCAGCCCAGTTCAGCAGCAGACTTTTTAGAGGTACCACACTAACTAACTGAGCCAACAGGTGAAGGCAAGAAAATATTTATGCCCCAGTGCTGGCACCCACAAATAGCAAAATGCAACACAGGTTTAGACCTGCAGCCTGGAATCTGATTCTCTTTTCCCATCTTTTCCAATTAGAAGTTTCTCTGTATGCTTAGTTATATATCTGTATACACACCTTGTGAAATGTTCCCTTCTTTAGCTCATACAGCCTGATTACAGAAGAGCTTTAGTCTGTCTTCTCTAACAGTAAAAATACTTTATGGCATTCAAGCTGGGATTTTATACCATTACCAGTATAAACTATTCTAGCAGATAATGTCATTTTGTAACTTAAAACAGGGGAAATTCAGATTAGGTATAAGGAAGAAGTTCTTTACTGCGAGGATGGTGAGACAATGGAACAGGTGGCCCAAAGAAGTGGTGAATACTTCATCCCTGACAGTGTTCAATGCTAGGTTGGACAGTGCCTTGGGCGACATGGCCTAAGGTGAGGCATCCCTGCACATGGCAGTGGGGTTGGAACGACATGATCTTAAGGTCCTTTCCAACCCAAACCATTCTGCAATTCTGTGATTCATCAGATCAAAACTTTCCCTGTGGATGCATAGCCAGGTACAGGCACAGAAAGATATTTGTTTCAATATGGTGATCTTCTGCTTTAGACATGGTAAACAAACCACTGAAAACCTTTCTTGAATCTTACCTGGAAGCATTTTCATCATCCTGGTGATGAATTTTTGTCATTCCACCACTCAAGTTGATCTTTCATGACCAGATCTAACTCTAAACAAACATGCAAATACACACATACATAGATGAAAAGCTTCACTTGTAAAAGAACAAAGGAAAATATGAAACTTGACAAAATGTTAGGAAAAATCACACTCAGGGTCATATTGATTTAAAATACAAGCTTTTCACATCAACTTTATGGTCTAATATTATGTAAAATTGGTATAGTTTAAGAATTGGTGAATTCTGAATGAATTAAGGAATTAGTAGAATTATGCATTTTGCAAATAAGGCTTTGCCATGTTCTGGTTTAGATTACACACTACAAATGCTCCATAAAACCTTGAAAATACTGGATTTTGCATGTAGTGAAACAATATCTTTTCTTCCAGGTGGTGCAGTGATGCTTTTGATTTACGAATACGTTTATGCATGGCTTCAGGACACAGTTGATCACAAGTAGCACTTCAGAAAAATGTATTCTTTAAAATAAATGCATTCTAAAACACACTTTAATAAAGTAAAAGTGATTCTCATCCTTTATGGTGTCAAATACCCTCAGATTACACTGATGCTAGTACAGTTCAAGACAAATTTGGTCTTGATCCAAGAAAATATTTAAGCACATGCTCTTCTCAAAGTGCATAAGTAAATAGTACAGTTGATATTTGTAGTTGTTTTACAAAAGAAGAAAAATATATATAGAAGACATAGGAACAATTTAGTTTTTCAAGGACAGCCTGAAAATTCTGGATACTGCGTCATACTATGCAGTAAATGCACTTAAAAATCAGCTGAAATGAAAGATAACTTTCAGGGGATTTAGAAGAAAAAAATGGAATAATCCTATGGAGCCACATATTAAGCCAGTGTAAACTGCCAGCTCCATTGACTCCAGGCTGAGAACGTGACCCATACTCTGTAAACAACTCTTGAGTCAATCTTGGATCCAGTTTAAATTCAGTCCAGTATGGTTTCAATACTTATAGAAGAGCTTCTGAAGTTGTTGAGAGAGGATAGGAAAAGGACAGCTCTACTGGCCACAACCTTTGTACACTATTGCTTAAAGAGCTGTCCTGTAATAAAAATGCTCAATGTACCTTGGCTGCCCATTTAGCCTTTCATTACCATCATGTGATGGAGAAACGATGTTCTAGACTGATAGAACATAGCAATTGTAATTAGCCACCCTATACCTCAAAGAAATAGGCCTTTCTATAGATACAAAAAATGTTGCTCAAAAGCTAATATTGTTGCTTTTCTTACTGCCCATTCTAGCTAGCTCCGTGAAATACAATTTCTGCTGTGCTGATTGAAGACATAGTTTCAGTTCATGCAGTTGTGCCCCATACTACATTAACACTGTTAACTTTGAATGTTTTTCCTCTTAAGGAGGTACGAACCTTTTTCCCAACAATCCTAAAGAAACACCTTTCCAGATTGTTACTTGAAAATGACAGGTCACATGTGAAGTCTCATCTCATGAGGGTTTTTAGTGTGTTAGAGAAGCAACAAAAAAAGTTAAAAACAGAAATGCGTTCTCAGCATTTTCAAGGGTGCTTGTACTGACATGCTTACTAAACCTCTCTTTTACCTAAATTTGACAACAGTGACTTCTCATACCTATTCTACCTCATAGCTAAAATCAATCAAATTAACTCTGTTACAATTTATAATTTTAAGGCAAATGTTCCTCATTGCATTTCATTCTCGGTACTTAGCCAAATAGAAGACACTACTAAGATAATTTTGAAAATTAAAAGCAAAATGCATTATAATTAGTCTTTTATTAATTTAGAGCATTCAAAATATAAAAATAAAAGGCTTTAAACATACTGTATATACATATCTAGCCTTGGGTTTTAACATCCTTTCCAACATGATTATTTTTTTTCAGTTAATAGCTCAGCCTGATCTTTGATAAAGAGAAAGCAGAAAATACAGCATAGTTTTAGAAAACAAACCCATGAATGTGCCAGCCCATTCCCCCATCACTGTATGGTGTAATATGGGGTCTGATTCACTTTTACACTGGAGGTCGTTTGTACCAGGACCATGCAAACACAGTGGGGCTGTCGTAGAGGGAGAACTAAGCTCCACTGATTTCTTTGAAAACATTTGACATTCTGTGAATGGAGTGTAAGCTTTTCAGATTAAAAACTTAAATTCTGCACTCACATATACTGCATATTTCCCAAATTAATCCATTCACCGTAGTGGGTTCACTCCAAATTTATACCCCTGTACCTGACAGCAGCAGCTGACTCTTATTTATTAATAAAAATATTAATAATAATAAATCCCTTTCTCTCTTTGTTTATTGTAAAGTGACTTAAAAAGTTATGTGGTTAATAAGCTAACGTGGTGCATTTTTCAGTTTAACCATGAGTATAAGCAGGGAAAAGGTCCTTGGGCAAAGGGAGTATTCTGTATTGAAGAATTAAAAAAAAAAATAAAATTGTTATGAAAATTCACAACAAAAAAATGCCTCACCAGGAGCCAAGGTCAGGTACCTTTGCTCAATCTGAGCAACCCTTTCTGCACACAGCCCCACTGACCTTCCACTTGAGGGTATCATATACGCACAAAGTGCTGCAACTAAACAAACACAAAATAAAAATGGTTCATGATGGTGTATTGCCACATAAGGAATAATTAACATCATGTCTTGTCCTTGCTTTGTAAAATATCCTGATTTAGCTGAAGACAAGATAATGCAAACAACTGATACAAGCTAAGGGTCTCTCTTTAAGTATCTCTCAAAACACACTAATACCTCATGGGAATGTCAGAAAAGATGGCTTTTATTCCAGAAATGACCTCTCACTGCTCAGGAAAATTTGAAAACTTTTAACACAGGCAGACTTTGTTACAGATTTGTGAATTCTTGGAGCTCAAAAAGCCACGCTATGCAAGGCTTCTCATCCTTTTTTTCAAGGGGTTGGGTTTTGGGGTTTTTTCCTCCTTTGATGCACCTTGTTTGTGCTGTGTGGGTAATAGGTAGACTTATTCTGTAATTCTACAGTCCAGTAAAACAACTAGGTTGAAAGCTAAGATCCTGTTGCCAACTTAATAATTTATTGATTCATGATCTTTTTCTTATCGTTCTTTCTTCTCCATTTCATTTTTAGTGAAGAGCTTGTCTAGAATGAAAGCAATTTGTTTTCCATAGTGTTAAGGCTCATCTTACTTCCATCTACAGCTGCATAAAAGCAGAATAACGTCCATCACATCACTAACAGTGTGGCAGACTGGAAATGCACTTGTGCGCATGTTACCTTTAGTGGTTTCAAAGCAGCGTTCTTGAAAAAGTGTTCCACTGAATAACAAGGGTTTCAGCATCTCATTAAAGCCAAACAGCTGCCGAATGCCTTTGAGGCTGAAGAATACAGGATCACATCCGAGATCACATCTCTCTTTCCTTAGGGCCATAGTACCTGTGTTCTTTATAGAAATATGGTTCTATTAACTATTTTTTAATGCAAAAAGCAAAGGTGGCAGCAGCCAGTTGAGTCCATCTAAATTTCAGTGGGTATACTTTATATAACATGTGAACTGGTTACTTAAATTCTTATGAAAATTTCCCCACAGCTGTCTCAGTGATGAAAGCTGGAAATCCACAAAGACTGTATTTTAGGAGGGGACTGTATTTTACCTTCCCATTGAGTGAACGTTTCATATGGCATGCAGATAAAGCAATAATTTAAGAATGAAATTTTCTCCTCTGCTATAACTGTCCCTAGTGTGATTTAAGTTATTGCACAACATTTATAAAAATACAAAATATATTAATATCCTATGAAGAATATGAAATGTCACACCAGGCTGCTTTTTTTTTTTTTTTTCCCACATTCATATTCTGAACATACCTACAGCATTCTGGAATAATAGTCAGAACTTTATTATTGCCCAAGGAAAACAGGTAAATTTTCAAAGATCAGTACGTTAGCTCTCCTGGGATTAAAGTTTAAAGCAAAATAACTGGCACAGAGTACTTGCCAATGGATACAGAAATGTAGAAGGGGAATTTGTTAAATAATATCTGTGTTTGTAGCACCACCACCAGTATACCTATAAGGAAAAAAAAAAAATGCTTCAGAGCAATGTAAACTTTACCAAGAGCCATATTTTACATTCATTAAAGCAGAAATTAAAGACAACTTCCTCTTAAAAAAAATTACAATGTAATCTTGGGCCAAAAATGCTGCACACAAGTGTGCTGACAGTGATGGTACAACTCTGTTCCTCAGCAGTTTTGTTGACTGACATGATTTTGTAAGCATCTCTGCACAGGCTGCACTCTAATGGCATTTCCCCCTACAGTTTTCAGTTTGTTCAGATATTTCCCACCCATTTCTGTTTGTACGCTTAACACAAATGTGGAGTTTCACGAATCTGGAAGACTCCATATAGCTGGGGGAGAGTTACTTGGCTGGATTTCTGCCTTTGAATCTTCTGCTGAAGAGACAACTGTATTTCATGAGATGCTGAAGTCTCTACTGTAGGCACAGAAACAGAATGAAAATAACCCTACCAAAACCTCAGCACCTGAGGCTGTCACCTCATCGCACAACGACACAGAAAAATAGCTAGAAAGTCAAAAACTTTTTTAACTTAGAAAAAGAAAATAAATGTACTGGAAGGTGAAAACAAAATGCTGTCAAAAGCCTATATTTACAAATGGATAAAAACACAAAGGTATTACTACTGCCTGACAATGGCAACATACCAGGAGAATCTGAGAGCCGCCTACTGCCTTGGTTCTATATTTGATTGCCAAAACCCAACGAAACAACCAGAAGTGATCTCTTAATAGAAGTGGATTGTATAACTCTGTTGATTGGTTGTTCTTTAGGCAATTGGCAATTGGCAATTGGCAAACGCCTCCTATTTAACCGCCTTTGCTGATTCAAGGCATAGAAGAATTTTCTGAGGTGACTTTTCTTTATTGATTTTACACAAATCTTAATAACAATTGCACATTTAGAAAGTCTGTGATGATTATGAATAAATACGTGTGGTTTGACCAGGAGAGAGTGGGACAAGGTTCCACAAGCCCTTTGAGGGATGCAAGGTCTTTACTTAAAGAGCACAACACCACAGTTCTGTCAGTTTCTGATGTCTTCGGCTCTTTTAATCCTAAAAGCCTTACAGGAGACAAGTCATGAGGAGAAATGCCAGGTATCTCCAGCACAAAGAGAGCAGTTTGTCAGCCAGGTTCAGGGGACAACCACCCAGCAGGCTCATGGTGGTCCTGGACCAGCTCCTGCATCAGAGAGCAGAGGCCGTGACCGAGTGGCTGCCCTCCCTGGCTGTCTGCATGCCCTTGAACGCCAGTGAGGCGGGGATGTCGCAGCTGTGCGGGGACAGTGGGGTGCCTCCAGCGTGCTGCCAGCCGTGACCCGCCATGTAGCCGGATGGGGTGGCACTGTACGTCATGTAAGGTGACACTTGGGCTGGTGTTGCGTAGGGAGGCATGGCTGGTGCTGACACAAAACTGCTGACGGCAGGGAGGCCACTGGGTGCCTGAAAGGAAAGGGAAAAACATTTCTAAGAGAGTAAGACAACAGATCTGCTGTAAAATAAGGTACCCATAAATGCTGTTTGGTCTTTGTACAAGAACCAGAGCTATGGGGATGCCCAGGGAGCCACCCATTAGCAGTCCCCTAGATTTCAGGGGTACAGTGGCCCCATTGTGCTTTGCTTTTAAGGCCAGTTACCCCACATGAGCCCTGCACTCCTCTCCCAGCAGCCTGTCCCCAACAGGGACCAGCAGCAGATGTTTAGGGAGCACACACTGAGAACAGGGCAGGAACCACAGAGCCTGTCCGCACACCTGCCTGCCTTCCCACAAACTTGTTCATGCACTCCTTAAGCCCATAATTGCATCTAGTCATTATATTTGAGAGCTACTGCTGGAGGTATTTGTGACAAGTTTGTCCCATCTCTCTCACTGAGCACCTTCATCCTCTTGGAAATGAGTCCCATGGGCTGGAGCAGGTTGGCTTTAATATTTACCTACCTTTCCCAAATTTTGCATGTGATGCTGGCCATTGTAGCCAGGCCCTGGCAGAGAGTGCTGTGGCAGTTTAAGCTGGGTGTCCAGCAACCATGGCCATATCAGCAGCAGGAGAGATGGACCCATCCCACCATTTTGCCACTGCCAGCCCCAAAGGAGGGTGGGCTCAGCCCTGAGCTGCAGCAGCCATGTGCAGATCCCAGAGCAACACTTCCCCAAGCGGGGAGGTAACAAGCAGCAGGGGAAGGTGGGAACATCTTAAACTCCTTGGTAACTGTTTGCTCAGGGCATGAGTCACAACTAGAGTAGTAGTAGCATTATTATTGATGATGTCTTTTAAAACTGTGTTTTCTAGGTACTTGGGATATAGCCTTGCAAATGTTCTTTGCTTACAGTTTCAATGGGGCTTCTGTGCACAAAACAATTGTAGGGCTGGGTCCCTTCCCGCGAGCTATTTTCCGAGGTCTTTCCTTAGGCTGGGGAGAAGGGTTTCTATTTAAACAGAGAAGGGAGAGTCCTTCAGTCTGCCATGGTAGGATTTCACAATGAATGACTCCTTATTTAAATAAAAAGCGTTTGGTGGTTTATTTCACACCCTGTAAATGCTTCTTCAGCAGAACAGGTACAAACAAAGATCACTTATCTTGCTTAAGTTTCAATTTGGGTAGTATTTTTTTTTTTTTTTGATTCGGGGTAGCATTTTTTTCCCAGAAATGTTTTCTATGTGAATATGAAAGAACAGGTATCAATTCGGTAAATCATGTAGCATCTGCCATTTTTAATTACCTGGTAGAACCAAACCTAACCTGGATCATGCAGAGTTAAAAAATTAAACAGGCTTTTGTTTCTGCTAAAACTTGATGTTAACATTTCTCTTGTTCAATTCCTGTCTGGATTGCACCTGCCAAATTTCCAGTATTTACTTCCATAAACGGCACTGGCCTGGTTTCAGGTACGTGAGTTTCCTACCAATGTAACTCACAGTTTCACTGGCTGGACTATCCTCTCATTGCCACTCAGGAAACCAAGAAGTAATCCTGCAGGAGTCAATATAAATGTGTACAGCAATCTAAAACAGCAGGAGGCAGTGATGGGATCCCAGCCAGAAGCCTCCGATAGGTATATTAATTAGTACAAAACATACAGCTGCAGCAGCAACATAATTGTCATTCCAAATCCATAAACACTTTGTTGAGGCTGAACTTGCCTTATTCTTTTGAAAATCCAAATATGTGACCTGACCTTCAACTCCAATTACACATCCCCTACTGTGTCTCAGAATTCCACTTTAACCTCAGCTATAAATATCAGTGTTTGCAACAGTACTAATTAATACAAACCTTCATAGAATTGCACTGTAAATTAGTACACTTCTTAAATCACATTGAAAATTATTTCACTGGATTTACTGGAAAGTAAAAAGTGTGACAGGCCCTAAAAAGCTGCTGTTCTCCAAGCTCCCTGCCTCTTCTAATGTAAAGTGCTTTTCAGAGGAATATGAAACAAGAACAAGTATACCTCTGCTTTTTTCTAATGAACAGCAACAAAAATCTTTGCACAGATGCAGTAGAGCCATTAAAGCCAGGCTGTAACCCCGGGACATCAAAAGCCACAGCCCAAAAGTCTTCTACACAGAGAAGTACAGAACCTCCAAAGGGATCCTGGAAGGAGAAAAGACCTGGGGCAAGTCCCTGAAGAGTGTCATAGCTATTGAGACAGCACAAACCTCCAGCCTCTGAAGCTCAGAAGAGGTTTTCTGGACTCTGCAAGGCTACCTTGTTTCTCCAGTCTTGCCCACTCCCAAACAGACTGGTACCAAGCACCTTGTTCAAGGCTGTAACTGGAAGCTCCATTTTAAGTAGGATTCCCCAATATGAGTGGTCACATCCCCTGAGCCCTTGACAAATGAGGCATATGTCCCTCCAGCCTCCTGTGTTGTCACTGCTCCCCTCTACCATGTGTGGCTCTGGGAAAAGCCAAAGCCCTCCTTTGCCACAGAGAAAAGAGAATGTTTCCTATATGCTGTACAGGCTGCCATGCTGTAGGATGCTCTCCAACCACTGGCACTTCCTTAGAGCTCTTTAGGAAAGGCAGATGATCTAACAACTTTCATTTGATAAAGAATGAGACTGTAATCAAAGTGGAGCATAGTGGTGCATTATGCCAAGGCTTGCTTGATTGCTTGATAGGTATCCCTTTGCTGAGCACCACTCCCCACCCCACCATCACACACCAAGAGTGTACGGATAAAGAAAGGCAACATCTGGTCCTCAAGAAATCACTTCCCACTTTGTCCAATGCTGTGTCCTAGCAAAAAAAATCCCCAGAGGTGATGACTGTATCCTCAATTCTGCCAAAAACCGGGTGTCCTCATCCACACAACCTATCGCACAGGACCCCTGAGCTGTGCCCTGCCTGACCCCACACTGGAGCAGTGTGTGGCCATGTGCTAGTGGGCACAGGCTAGATCTGTGTCAGGCAATGTGCCAATAAGCCACCTGTTTGCTGGTCCATTGATGCTCAAGCCCATGTCCTTGTCTCCTGCTGCTCCTACAGAGAAGGCTGCCAGAGGCCAGAAACTGTCACTGGACATGATCTGGGGCAAATCTGAGCTCCTGCGCAGGTCACATTAATGCAGACATTGTTGATAAATATTTAATCTAATCACATATATGTTCCCCTATTTCTTTTTATCATTGTGTGGCCTTCCTAAGTGGTCTTAATGGCAAAAATTAAAATTAAAGTCTCTGAACTATAATTACTGGAGAAGTCCTAGTCTGTTACTGAATTACACTGGAGGTGCTACTTGCGTTGTTACTGATAAAACAGATAGGACTTGACTAAAGATTTACTAGTTTTTGTAAAACCCTAATTTAAAAGAATGCCTATCCTGATTTATAACAGACAGAACAACGTTTTTACCTACATCCCTTTACTTAATTTACAACTGTGATAGCTGTTGTTTTTATAGCGTCAATTTAAATGTAAGAAAGATCTTCCCTGACTACTGAGGTGGGACATGGAGGCAGTTTTGTAGGGACCACCAGTTGTGACCTGTCAAGAACCCCCAGTGCTGGAAAGCTGTTGTCACTGCCTCACTGAATTAATGAATCATTCTTATTTTTATTCCAGCACTACAAAGCTTTGCTGCACAAAACCATGATCATGTGGATGCCAGTAGGTGCCTTCAGCGAAGCAGGCATCACTGGGATGGGAAAAAGCTGGCCTGGCATGGAGCACAGTTCTGTTTCAGGGGAGGTTTAAGCCATACCTGCAAAGCAGCCAGAAGCCTCCTTTGGCCCAAATTTAAAACTGATGAGATAAAGAAAACTTCACTTTATGTGATTTAAAACTATGCTACACAAAAAAAAAAAATCTGATTTTCACCTCTTTCATCAGTGAAGGACTTGACCCAATAATTTTAACTGCAAGAGTTTTTACTTCTAAACAGCTGTAGATACAAAGTATAGGTTATCGGAAGGGTTGAATCTTGCCTGTCAATCTGGCACTTTTTACAAACATGACATTTAGTTAAAATAAATGGGGGGATTAAGTTCCATGACCCTGTATATACTGGATGAATAATTCATCCTGCAGTATTTCAATCAGAGGAAATTAACATCAAAATCTAAACATTCATAATTAGGAGTGTGAGAACCCCATGGTGTTTATGGGTTTTTAAACCCTTAGAACTTGTTTTAAGTGCAGAGCTTCTTGAACCTGGTTTTTAAGCTTTATAAATATTTTTTTTCCTTAATTTTCAAAGGAAATCTAATTTTTTTAAGCAAGCAAACAAACATGTAGTTCTAAATGAACAAGAACGTCTGCTGTGCAAGTGATAAGGGTTCCTGTTTGAAAGCGCTTACTGTCTGGCTTCTACAAAGACCAGAAAGAAACATTTGCTCTGAATTGCTGTTTCTATCAATGTTTTGAGACAACTGATGGAATAAGAATTTCCAGATTTTAGAGCCTAGAACACATGACCTCCCACTGATTCGCAAATTCAGTTAAACCTGACACAGCTACAGGTTGGGCAGAGAAGAGATTCAGAGCAGCCCTGTGGAGAAGGACTTGGGGGTGTAGGTCAATGACAAAATGAACATGAGCCAGCAGTGTGTGCTCGCAGCCCAGAAAGCCAACCGTATCCTGGGCTGCATCAAAAGGAGCATGACCAGCAGGTTGAAGGAGGTGATCCTGCCCCTCTACTCTGCTCTCGTGAGACCTCACCTGCAGTATTGTGTGCAGTTCTGGCGTCCTCAACATAAAAAGGACATGGAACTGTTGGAACAAGTCCAGAGGAGGGCCACGAGGATGATCAGGGGACTGGAGCACCTCCTGTATGAAGACAGGCTGAGAAAGTTGGGGCTGTTCAGCCTGGAGAAGAGAAGGCTGCGTGGAGACCTCATAGCAGCCTTCCAGTATCTGAAGGGGGCCTATAGGGATGCTGGAGAGGGACTCTTCATTAGAGACTGTAGTGATAGGACAAGGGGTAACAGATTAAAACTTA